CACAATGCTCGGCCCGTAGCCTTTTGTCACTGAAACTTCTCGGATCCGTAGTCGCGTTACTCGCTTCACGAATCACGGTGCACAATGCCGGAAAAAATGTATTCATACACCGCTGACTTTTCCTTTCAACTGTCAATACCGTTTCTGACGTAAGGCTGCGACTGGAATTGGCACCGTCGGCACATTTCGCAAGAACTGTGTTACCAATATACTCGCCTGCTCCGAGATATTTGATCAATAGATCGCGGATTTTATGCGCTTGCGACAATGTTTGGTACACGATGCGATAGCTTCAATCTATAAATTGTTCTATTTGCGACGAAGCTATTGCTGTTCCAAATAAAAATTCGCTTCCCTGGTGTTTCTTTTATTAAAAGAAATTTTAATGATTTTGTAAACGTTCTTCCACACGACTTTTTGTTTTATCCTCGTTTAGAGATAACTTATCGAATCGTGCTGAGTTTTACTTAACAAATTTTGTATATTTCTGGTGATATTGCTGTTAAATTAATAATAATAATAATAATTAAAGATCATCGATTCATAAAATTCTCCGTTCCGAAATATCTTCTTTCGAATCTCACCGAACTTCTTGCAATGAGATGTTCACATTCTCTGGTGCAATTTTTTGTCACTTTCAATTTGTTAGCAGCATAGAATAACGAAGGTGCAATTCCCGCGAAATCTCCGAATCCAAGTCACGCATCGAAATGTCCAGACACCGTGGGCGGACACCGCAGTTGGACACCGCTTTCCTTTGAATATTTAAGGTCGAGTGACGTCACGGTAATTGTTACTCCGTTATTCTGCGACTTACGGTCTACGGTGGCCTAGGAGAGGAAACTAGGAGTGGCCACGACGACCGTCGTGACCCAGGTCGGGTAAAGCAGCTTTAAAAAACCATAAGCCGAGCTACTTTTACAGCTTGCACCTCACGTGCGTCCGAACGTTGTCCGGACAATTTATTATTGAAACGATGATGTCCGGATGTCCGAGAGTCCGCGGGACGACACGCGGAAAACTCGGCGAGGGATTTCCCCCCTATTGTTCGTGTTTCGCCACTGACATACAGATTGTTCTCAGGTATTGTTCACGCAACGAACACCTGTTCTCTAAACGCGAAACCAGATGTTCCGTATTTTCTGCGGAATTCAATTTACGTAATTTAAAAATTGATATTTTATTATGTCCGATTTTGTAACCGCGTAGCACGGTAAATAATACGCGGCTAGATAACGCCAAGCTAAACGGGTTGATATTATTTTTAAAGGCGTAGTATCAAGTTTGTTTTGCATAATTGAGGGGTTCCTTGAGGAGCAGCGATAAATTCGTGTCTCAGCGGCGTGGCGAGGAATCGCCTGTGAACCGCCGGCGAACCGTGAAATCAATTAAACGATCTGTTACGGATAAACTTTCTCTTCCTGCGACTTAATGAATATGTCGGAGGGGGGTCGGCCGGTTGAATATTCACGAATCATGGACGCCGTTCAAATAGGATCCATTAAGGTGAATTTGTTCATTAATCGACGCCCGGTTTGAATTCATTACCGTCGATCGCGATAAAAACCCCGCTCGATTCACGCTTTTATCAATTTCTTAACCGTTCGATGCGATTACACGGCTTTTTGCTAGCTGGCGCTGATTAATTCGTCGCTCTTCTCTCGCGTCGGTTCGAATGTACTCTCCAATTTCGACGCGTTTGCGCCGCTTCGGAGGGAATCGACTCGAGTTTTTATCTTTTTTCTCTTTTATTCAAATTATCAACGCGTAATTTGTTAGGTAAAACGTAAAAGTAAAAGACAAGTAAAGTAGAAAACGATACCAGAACAATTTAACAATACTTAAAAGCCTATTACATCGAATCTACTAAATCCATCGAAACAAAGAAACACACGTTTATTTAACTCCAATTTTTGCCAATCCACAGCTTAAAAATAACAAGCAACTGCTTATCGTAATAAAAATTGAAAAAATCCAAATAAAAATCGACGATATCGTAAAACCACCCTCAAGTTCCCCAAAGTCCTCGCAGCTTGAAATCTCGCCCATACATTTTGATCGCAAATGCATAAAATTCGCAGGCCACAGATCTCGGTTGCACGAAACGCTGCAAAAAGTCTTAAATATATTCGAAACGATTGTTCTCCGTCTGTACAGTACACGCTGGCAGTGAAAATAATCGATACCGTATAGATTTGGTCAGGACTGTGTAACTCAAACCGCGCACCCCCCGTCGCCCAATTTCTGAAGCAGGGTCGCGGACCCGTCGGTGTAAGAAACACACCGTCTCGCACATGAAACCGTGATTCTCCGCTATATCGAGCCGCCGATCGACAAACAGGAAGGTCGAACGTCGCGTGAGATCCAGGAAACACGGTGGAAGGGTTTCGCGAGCCGATGGAACACGAGAGCCGGGATACGTGGGGAGGTTTCGGCGAAATATCAAGAGACCACGGTCGATTTATCGCGCGAGGGGTGGCCGGCCCTCGTATCGCCGGATCATTCCTCATAATTCCGTAATAAATCTGGTAGGGCCGGTCGCCTTAAGGCCGACGATTTATTTTACAACAGGGCCGGGTCTGCGCGACGGTATCTGGCCGGCCGATCGGGGCGCCGCGCACCCCTTCCCGAAATATGCTCGTCGGCGAGCGTAAATTCTCGGTAAAACTTCGGCTTGCGGCCGCGCTCCCAGCCGTGCTCGCAGCCGGCGGCGAATTAACCCCCATGAATATTAATTACAATTTACATGATATTAACCAGCATTATCAGGAGTCGACGGAGGGGCGGGGCCGGTCTAAAATAAGGGGGCGGAGGGTGAAACCGACGCGCAGGTGGCCCGCGAACAGGTGGCCCCGATTTACAGGCTTTCGGCGGCGTTAAATAGGGCCGATCCGCGGTCACGCTGACATCGCGGCCGGCTACAGCAACCTATGCAAGCTGATGCTCGGCTGGATTGTTCGAAAAAAGGTGTTGTTCGTGCGACGTAATTTAATGCGATCGTTTCGAACGATTCGACTGGCTCTTTGCAGTCGAAACCGATTAAGGTGTGCAGTAAGTTCTTCAGGAAATGACAAAATTCGGGTTGCTGTGAATTTTCCTGTGCTAGCCCTACGCCTGTGTAATTTATTGCTACGTCGATGCTAAGGGTTGACGGAGTCGGTGAAACGTGTGATGCGACTTGTGGCAAGGCTCGTGGCATGTGGCCTCCGAATTGCCTTCGAATCGTGGCAAGTGGCCTCCGAATTGCCTTCGAATCGTGGCCCGTGGCCTGCGAATTGCCTTCGAATCGCGGCAAAAAGTTAGAAATAAAAATGCGAAATCGTCGTTTTTATTCCATCATTGCTACGTATTCGCAGCCTCTTTTTGCCGACTGCAGTTTCTATAAAAACGAGCCGCGAGGCCCGAAAAATCGTGTCTCAGATCCGCCGGTTTCAATTCCGACCTCCGAGCATTTCTGGGAGAAATGACAGTGCACGCTTGCCGACGAAAGCTTGCCGGCAGGAATTCTAAATGTAGCGACGTAATAGCGACAAGGAACGTCTCCACGACGAGCCGCTCGTTTATAATCGACGGGAAACGGCGCTTAACAACGGCGAATATTGTTTCCTCGAAAAAGACATTCGACTTTTTACGTAATGGAACAACGAGCACCGTCCGCGCGGTTCGGGAGACGGGGTTGATTCGTTACCGGGGGCCGATACGGTATTATAAGAAGCGAAGCCAACGGAACAGGATCCAATTACGTTAACTCCGCAAACACGGTATTATTCTTTCATTTGTGCGCGTAAACCGACAGAGAGTTCGCGTTCGTTCGTTCGTTTCCTCCGTTTCGGGGCGGGGACCTTCAAACGAACGCTCGTATCCCGATGGGAGCCGCGTGCTTGCCAGGGATCCCGATAAAACAGGAGATAATTCGGAACCGGCAACTTTGCCCGCGTAATTGAACTCGTTCCTTTGTTATTATTTAATTCAATTAGCCGCCGGTAGATTTAGGTTCGAGTCACGTCAAACATCGTGCGCTCCGCAGCCGGCGGATTTGCCTTGGCCGTAGGAAACCGGCCGCGGCCGGATCAAATATTCAAAGATGTTTCAAGGTTCTCTCTGCCGGGTAACGTAACCTCTGCGATAAAACCAGACGAGACGGGAAGATCCGTTCAGCCCTCGTTCGGAAGCCGGGAGCCGAGCGGAAAGTCCATCGAGGACGGAGCGGAGCGAGAACGGAACGGAACGGAAAACGGCCGCCATTAATACGCTTCGGCGCGGACCGATGGCGCGTTATTGCGACTTCTTGTTAACAAATTGTCCGAATTACTTCCCGTTGACACGGAGAAAGTAATTTCGCGAGCCGGCCGCCGCCGAGCGCGCGATATGCCGCGCGCGGATAAATTACTCGACCCGCTACTAACTAATTTATCGCGCTCGCAACCCCCCGTCTAGGCGCTTCTCGCGCTGCCAACGCGTTCGTGATTGTTCGCCGATCTAATTGGCCCTTAAAATTCTTCTCCTGCTAATGGCGTAGCACAGTGCAGAATGATGGGACGTTCGATGTGCTCGAATAATTTTGGCTAATTAAAGGAAGAACTTCTGACTGCGAGGCGAAACAGGGAACCGCGAAGACGAGGACGAGGCGATGAAGTTGATGCAATCAATTACCGTTGCACATTAACCGGGGCAACTCGCGTGATTTTTATTCCAATCTTAAGTCGATTAATATTAATTCTCATAACGATCGCGCTTCCATCCATTTTATTCGAGCATCTCGGCAATAACAATTAGCTGTTCGAGCCCCGACGATTCGTTTCAATTGTGTGCGATACGACGATCGACCAGCCTGGACGAAGTTCGTGGAAAAATATAATTAACGAACCTAACGAACAACTGTTTCGATCTACTTGAGAATCGGCATCTGAACGATCGCTGAAACGTCAGGGTTTTTCCATCGTGGAAACAACATATAATTAAAAAGTAGAATCTTGTGGAAAATGATGAGACTGACTCACCATGGATCTCGAGGATCAGGTAGCGTCCGATGAACTGAAATCAAGTCGCTGACGTATTGATTAAACGCGTTGTTCAACCATCCGTCGTCGACGAGCTTTTTCGTTTCGGCAGTTAGGTTATTTGGCAGAATTACTGGTCTCCCCATTTCGCCGGCTGCGCTAGGATCCTGCTCCCGAGGGGCTGCGAGTACTCCACCACCTGAGACAGCATTAACAACGATTAATAGCAATCAATAACGATACAAGGATCCATCATGATCCACGATATTCGCTCTCGCTATCCGAGGATAGTTTAAACCCTTGCTGAATCATTTTATTCATAGTTACGATGACTAAAAGTTTGCCGATTGTAATAATTTCTAAGAAGAGAAAAGGTAATTTATATTTATTGCGTGACTATGTTTACTTAAATGTTTAAATATTGATGACAAGAGATCAGAATTTTATTTAGAGAAAATAGAACGAAATAGCATTTATATTTAAGAAAAGTTATTACAGATCTTACCAGAAATCTCGTCAGACTAGTCGAAGTATAGCAAAGGGTTAAATTCTTTCGAATTCGACCCATAAGCGCTCCACTTTGTTGACCAATTACAGCGTTCGTACGAGTATCGATTGCGACACGATTATTGTTACGTGAGATTCAATTTGTTTACGCTTGTTTTGACAACTCTCTGCAACAATTAATTAACGCGCGGACTCCTCGACTGGCATCTGCCGGAGGCCGATTCAGAAAACAATCTCGATGGCGGGCAGCGCCTCGTGGCGCCCTCTGCGACTTTCTCGCCCTTATAGCCGTACATAGCAGAGACATTGGGGCGCCTCTTGAAAAACGGCATAACTTTTCCAAAATTGTACCAAATGACTTGAAATTTTGCTTAAATGTTACAGGGACTAGTTCGCTAGAATAACGAGTAAAAACATTTCGCAGAAATTGCGATTGTTTCGAGTGAGGACGAAAATAAAACCCCGGTGTTATAGACGAATACAGCAGAGACATTGAGACGCCTCTTGAAAAATAGCATAACTTTTCCAAAAATGCACCAAACGACTTGAAATTTTGTTTAAATGTTACAGGAACTAGTTCGCTAGAATAACGAGTAAAAACATTTCGCAGAAATTGCGATTCTTTCGAGCGAGGACGAAGAGAATACCCGGTGTCTCAATCGTTCGGTCCAATATGGGAAAAATTTCGTTCAAGAAGACGTCGTCGTCCCATCTGCACCGTCCTTGGAACAAAATGTACGAACAGAACCGAGTCGCAGCAGCATCGGTTGCTCCGAGTATCGCAGGAACAACGGAGACAGATAGAATCTTGATCAACAGCCACAATCGAGAACGATCGACCGATCCAAACCGTCTTTCCCGCCGATAGGTTCGCGCAAATGAAGTCCCGGCGTATTACGTTTCACACGCGGCACGGCGACGCAATCCGATTTCCTAATAAAATTGTCGGACCAAGGTCTCAAAGAAAGCGGTAACCGCCGGCCGAAGTAATCGAAAGACAAGGAGAAGTCGATGCGCGGGGGTGGATGCGGCGACTCGGCGGAGCGAAAAACGTTGGCAGAAAGGAGAAGAGAGGCGCGAATTGAATTTTCGAAACGTTTCGTGCGTTCCGTGCGCGGCTGTTCCTCGATTCCGAGAGCTGTTCCGCATCGACCGGTGTTTCACTTTCCGGCGAGCATATTGTCGAGGCGCGGATAGAGCCGACGCGGTAAGCGGAGTCCTGCGACGTGCCGGGGACGTCTAGTTTTCGGCTCTCGCGGCACCTTGGCTCGTCCGAAAAATAATTTTATCCCGGATGGCGAGTCCGGGCCCCGGCAGGGCAATAAAGACCGCGACAAATTGCTCTAACGGCCGTCGGGCCGCTTGTGAACTTCGCCACCGTGAAACTACCGTCGTGCATCACCGGAACACACCACCGGCTGGATTTTTCTTTCAAAATTTCAACCCCTATTTCCTCTAGCACCGCCTCGGCGCCAGGGGTGGTCAAACTTTCGATCGCTACGGGCGACCTGTTTTTTTCTTTCTTTAAATTATAGCCGGCGGTCTGGCAAATACGTGTTAAGCGATCGTAAGAAAAATGATAATTTAAAGCGAAAAATAAGTTTATATTTCAAATAAACGTAGATAATATCGGACAGCCGGGCGACCGGGAACAGTTGCGCGGTCGACGCTCTGGCCACCCCTGCTCTACACGTTTCCCGAATTATACTTTTCTTCCGGTTGATGTATACCTAATGGCTGTCTGGAAAGTTCGGCTCGGCTCGCGATTCTTCGAAACAGAAAATTGGCTATCGCGGGACAGTTTATCATGTCAGCGTTCCATGTTCTAAAAATCGAATTGGCTATATTGCACAACACTTTCGGTAAATTCTCGGAGCGTAGCAGAGCAGAGAGGATTACATCGCCGTTTCCCACGTGATAACAGCTGTCTGTCTAAAAAAAAATGAGCAATCGCTTCTAAAAGATTGCAAGAGGAACTCGATCGTGACATCGTCCGCCTGAATAATAAATTAACTCTTTCTAAAATATCTCTGCTAAACACTTCTTCGCGCAATGAACTGCAATCTCATAATAGAATACAGAGACCCTGATCGGCCATCGTAGACGTCCACAGTCACGCAACCACGACATCGTCCCCTATTCAAAAAAATAGACAACCTCCCTTGGTATAGCAATCGATGTCAGTTTCCCGGACTAAAAAGAAACGCGTAAGCTCCACCGCCGTCCTAAACAACGCAACGATATCATCCGGTATTCAGAAAACGGTCTCCATTAGACACCAGTAGCGCCGTAAGTCGCGTCACCGCGCGACATTATCCCCTATTTAAGAAACAGATCGAGTCTATCCAAACCCCGAGACCCTAAGTCGCCGAGCCGCGGCAGCCTGATCAATAAAAAAAGGCAGACGAAGTCTTAAACAGCGACGCCACCCTAACTCAGCCGACCTCGCCATCATCCCCTAGTTAAAAAAAAAGGACAAACCGCAGCCCCGTGAGGCAGTTGCTTTAAAGACATCCGCGAGCACCTTCATTCGTCAACGAGAGTCCCTCTCTATCGATAGTTAAACCAAGGTTCCTAGGGTGCCTCCTGGGGTGCCTTCCGGGGTACCTTCTGGGGTCCCATGGGGATCCCCGTTAACAACAAATTAATTACCTTGCTCGGGGCCGGCCTGCACCAGCTTCTGCTTGGGTTTCTCGTTGAGCGGCGTCTCCTTTCGAAGCGGTGCGGCTGCGGGCACGAAACCGTTGGCCATCTGCGGCGCCGCGACGCCGGACGGCGCCAAACCCTGCACGGCGGCGTTGGCGCGGTCCTCTGTGTAGAGCAGGAAGCAGACGGTGACCCAGACCGCGGTCGCCAAAATGGCCACCTTCAGCCACAGGGATCTCCGCCTTGGGAAACCCATTCTTGACTCTCAGTTTCCGGGCAGCTAGGAGTCCTCTCTTGCACCCTCTTGCGCTCCCTCTTGCGCGCACTCTCTCTCTCTCTTGCGTTCTCTTCCTCTCCCTCTCTTGCTCTCTCTCTCTCTCTCTCTCTCTCTCTCTCTCTCTCTTCGACAGCTTGCGATCTCCTCGGTATCGAGCACGGTTCAATTAACTGTCGTTTCTCAGCCGGCTCGATAAATCGTGTTACCTCAGCAACATCCTCTTACTTCGGCCCCCTGGTCCTCCTCTACGTGGAATCTCGCCTAGCCGGGCAAGCACGCGGAACGCAAAGTTTTCCGACCGGTCTGGTTACGACAGTTCCCCGTCGATCGACCCGTGTGATCGACACTCGATGCGACTCCGACGCGATTGGATCATCTTCGGACCTCCATTCCCGCTGATAAGATTTCGGCTGTGCGCAGGATCGATATCTCGATCGAAGCCGCCGGCGATCGCGTATCGCTGCCGGGCTTCGGACTTCTGCTCGCTTCGATATATGCCTCGATGTGCAGGCGATATGGCGGCGTGTATGATATGAATTGATATGTGTGTTTCGGGGTCGGTAACCCTCTATCACCGCATCGCCCTCTCTGGAATCAAGAACATTCGAAGTTAGTGGCTGGAGTGTTATTTATACGCCAAGTATTTTAGTATGCGAACTTATCTTAATAAGCTAAGTAGGCTTTAATGCGTCGACGGTTTTAAGAACAGCTGATTTAGAAGATTCGAGCACCTATTTTTAAGGTACGTTAATACGTCAATTTAATGTCCCCAAGCAATCAAGATGTATGAATTGAATGTACTCGTTTTCTCAGACTGTCCATTTTTGCTTAACCCTTTGCACTCGAAGCTATTTCAACTGTAAATCTAAAATCATTTTTCTGACTTATATAGTATTTTTATTTTACATGAAAAAGTGCATTTTATGCATATGAAATTGACTCTTGTCACAAGAGTTACGCTGTTAACAATCTTTTTAAATCTAAACCTTGCTGATGTAAAAATTATTTTAGAACGTGACATAAATTTTAATGGTGTCTCAGAGTCATCACTCGAGTCCAAAGGGTTAAAGCTGAAGGAAAAATAGGGAGAATTTACTGTGTGTGTGTGTATATATGAAATTATAGTATGCGAATTATCTTAATATGCCAAGGTTGTATGTGTTTAACTTAGATAAAATAAAAGAGAATTTCAATAAGAATTTGGTACCGTGCGAGGCCAGGGAAATTAAGAGATAATTTGATTGTCATAAATCAATTTGACACGTTGCTCGTAGCATGATTTAGTATATGATTTATGACGGATTTCCGGAGTGACATCGTGACATAATCGTAACCGACGAGTATTCGAGCAAATTTGAGGGACGAAACTGAAGGTCCGCAAAATATTTGCCGAAGATATGTTTGCGGTGGCACTGGCGCAACGTACCGAGAAGATATACATACCAATAAATTAACTTAACCGAACTAATTGAGTAATTCATCACAGCCGCCATTTCATTAGCCAAAGTAAATCATGCGAGGAAATTTCCTTTGACAAGAAAAGTTCTGATTGCGCGTTGGAAAAGCAAACTCGAAAGCGAAGTCGAAAGCAGAGGAATCGGTGGAAACGTTTGCAAATATTCGGAATATCTATCGTGGGAGAGTATTCGATTTAAAAGAAACTTCCCGAAAACATCGGAACAACCGCGAACACACATTGTGAAACATTGCTGCACAAAACTTTCAATATATCTATATATTGCCAAAATATTGAAAGTTATATATATATATAGACAGAGAGAGAGAGAGAGAGAGAGAGAGAGAGAGAGAGAGAGAGAGAGAAAGAGAAGTAATTCATTGGGCTTTAATTGCAAAAAACTGCGTAAAACGAATAATTCAATCGAAAAATTGTGAGCCGCGTGGTAACATTGTTTTTTCAGTAACTATCGATCTAGGCAGAGCCGCGTGCGTTCCCAATTTGTAAAACATATATTTTCAAGCGAAAAAGTTGCTACGATCGAAAAAGAAAAAAGAACGAATAACTTTTCATGGAACTCTTGTTTTCGCATCCGATACACTTTGATTTAGAATTTGTTTAATACTCGACGCAGAACCGACGGCGAATATTTTAATTAAGCGCGAAAGTCGACAGACTAATTACAATTAATAAATGAAAGAACGATGTACCGCGGGCATATTTTAATAAGGGCGGACTCCATCGACGCGGAGATTCGAGTTACCGCTTCGCTAATTTTAAACTATCCTCCTCGGGATTCAGTCGCGAAAAGAAGATAAATATTCCGCGGAGCTAATGAAGTTTATAGTCCATCCGAGATTTGGTTAATTGGAATGAATCACCGCAGGACTTTTGAATAGGAAGGCGCGGTATTAAGGGTCGTGCTGGAAGTCCACATCGAGTCATTTATTAATAAACCGGGAGCACGTTTGCTTGTTGCGCCCGGCCGCGCTGTTCTTGAATAACTGAACCACTTCGGGCTGTCATGAAGATTTAAGAAAGCAAGCCGCAAAAATTCTTGGCCCTTTGCTGCACGCTCTTCAGAATCTTGAACGCGTTAAAATATCATTTCTGCGGGCTCGTAAAATAATTGCGATGCAAAACGATCGTTCATATTTTGTATCGTTCGGATGCAATTCGATGTTCGAAACATGAAATTCTAAGTAAATTGCACCGTTTATGCGATCACAGGTAAAAAGGATCTAAAATACGAATTCTACGCCTTTTCTTCTCGCTGTTTTCTCCGGTTTTGTTGCAGCAGAACACGTGGCTCGACGCGTGGTAATTTATACAAATTTAAACTAATCGAATATATTCGAAGATAGAAATTGCATATCCCCGGATTAGCAAGTGCAAGCGAACGTTGCAACGAACCGGTTAAGGGCGAGAAAAGTTCTCCGCGAAGAACCTCGCGGACAGAGAGCAAGTGGAAGGGTCCAGGGAAGGGGTATTTGCCATTTTGGGCCCCTCGCAATGCCGATGTAAGCGCGGTGTACACTCGAAGACACCGGAATAATGCAAGCGGAACGTGCTAATGGTGTTGCGACCGGCGAAACGCTACGAAAACCGCGAAAAAGCGAAAGAATAATGGGTCGAGTGGAATCTTTGTCCGCGATACGGCATTAGAATGCCTATCGTTCGACATTCGGGAACCCAAGATACGGGTTGCACGCGTATTCAGCCTGCGCGCCCTGTGCATACCGTTATGCACCGGGGATACGCCTTGTGTTCGACGCATTGCTGCTGCATTGCTAAAATTTTGATGGTTCAAAGAGCGCGGTCCGCTTTTGTTTTACGAAAGGGTCGATCACCCAGAGAAACATTTCGAAAAACGAGAGCTTATAATAAAACAAATAATAATAACCAGAGAGACTCGATCGATTTTGTCTAAACTCCGCAAACACGCTCGTTACGGCAAATGAAAAGATTTATTAACCTTTGTGACTGCGACCAGCGAACAAAGAAACCATTAGCATTGTGCGACTCGACGGTTTCGCGACAATCGCCGAGACCAGTTGCTTCGGTACACACATTGTGAGAAATTGTAATTGTTTCGCCGAAAACCAGGAGCCATTACCGGGGCTCTCTAATCGTTTTCTGCGGGACTTTTGCAACAATGCGGTCGATTGCTACACGATTCCATAAATAATGGATTACCAACATTTTCACGGTGTATCGTGCTCGTGATCGTTACGAAGTTTAACAGTTTCGAAGTCTCCTCTTTGATAGAAAAGGATATGATATTGAACTTGGTTCTAAAAAACCAAGTTACAATTTTATTCGTAGAAATTTTTGCTGATTCGATGCAACGTTAACGAAACAGAGAAACTGATCGTTACACTTGGGCATTGTATTTATTAATATTGCGACAATACAACAAACTAAATAACACCTGGAGAAGAAATCTTTGAGTCGATGGTGCTTGAAATGATTTCACATCGATAATGGACTGGTTCGATGAATAAGATCGCGTCCCATCCGTGAATACAATCGTCTCAGCCGGTGGAAAACCGTCTACTCGATAAGATAACAAAGTAGATTTAAATATAAATGTTATCTCATCGGCCGGGCGGAGAAAGCTTTTCAAGGCGACATCGAACAACGAGGAAAATTCTTCTAATTAGACCGCGGTGTCTTCTCATGCGAAATTACGCCTTCTCAAAGCGCTCCACGAAAACCGGAATGAAACGGAAATTTAATTCTTCTTTTAACGACTCCGCAGAGTTGCAAAGAAAATAATGACGTTATTAAAGTTTAATGAAGTTCTTTATCGCATTGCACTTGGCACATTCGTGCGCGTCGCGAACGCCGGAAAGTCCGCGGAGCTACCTACCGCGGATGCGATTAAAATGATTTCACTCGTTAACATAAATCCAAATTGATAAGCCAATTCATTTGATCCACGATTAAACGGCATTGTAGTCGTTATCGCTGGCGCAAATTATTCTAGAGACGCGCGCCACCACGATTTAATGGAAGTTTTCAAAATTTAGTAATCGCCGCGTCGACGATAATTCGCGCTCTCTTTTGTTTAAAACGTTCCTTTAGAATTATTTTTCTCGACGGATCTTCGCTATCTCACGATGGAAATGTGTGTGTGTGTAATCACATGGGCAAATTGCAACAGGAGGCCGCGTATAAAGGCTGCTCAAAGGAATTTTCCAATAGTAGATTCCAGTTAAATTAAATACTTCTCAACAACACGGATGAAACGCGTGCAAGACGAGAAGAAATGTTGTAAGCATTATTCACCGGCGTGCGCAATCTTACGTATGTTGCCGCTGTTATCCGCGAATACGGATGATATTACGAGCCATCAAGCTTTACAGTCGCATAACGTTCCATAACATGTGACACAGATCGCAATAACTGCGAAAGAGATCCGACGATACATCGCCCCTGTTGCATCTTTCGTTTCGCCTACATCCTTAGGTTAGGCTAAAAACTTGTTACGATTTTCTACGGATTAATTACTAGACTTAATTACTAAACCCCAAGCTTTATATAAGTCTCGAATTGGCTCTATTTTACAGACAGTTCAAAATATCGTGAAACTCCTACCAAAAACGAAACGAAGATTTTCTCCAAGAAATAAAATCGACTTCAACCAAAAATTACGGACGCATGGTTACAATAAACAATTCAAGATTACCGCTGTATAAAGAAGCTCGGGGCCGCGCCACCGCAGCACGGGATAAAAAGAAGTTCCGATACTCGAAGTTATCGGAGTTCTTTTTCGTGGAACAGCTTCCCCGGACTTTCCGTAGTTGTCTCGCGCGGCGTTCGATCGCGCCATAAATTCCGCATCGAAATGGGCGCGGTGCGAAAGGGTTGCTCCTCCTATTTGGCGCTCGGTCGGAACGGAATTCCGCGGTGCGAACGTACGAGCCCCGGGCGGGGGTTCGCCTTACCGTAACGAAATTGTTTCATTCGGCGGCTCGTTACGCGAGCCCCGTGTAATACGCGTCTAGCCGCATTGCCAATGAGATTAAATTCCGCTTCATAGGACGCCCGGGAGGCCGTCAATTTGACGTGTTTCAATTAAATACGACGAATCCTGGCAGCCGCGCGAGGCTGCGACGCCGCGAGTACT